GATCAGTATTTTTATAAAATTAAATCTTCCCATTTGGCAACACTAAAATTTAGATTACAAGAAGTACTACTTACAATTCCATCTTAATAAGTTCATATAACTTATAATTAACTACTTTATCACTGAGTTAAATTATTCCAAAAACCCTCTAATTGTTCTTCCTGACTGCAAAATCCAATCTGTACCCCAAAATTCATCTTTCATAAAGCTGGCGCAGTAATCTTAATAAAAAATACCAAATGGATCATTCTTAATATTCTTCAATAAATCCCCATTTCTTACTCAAAATACAAACTATTAATGCCGTCCATACTTGGCCTCTCTCAGGATTCCTACTACTCTTCTCCTTAATCCAAAAATCCTATCATACTCAAGCACTTGAATTTCTCTGAATAGCCTCTGTTCCCTCGGGTCTTTGTCTTTATACATATTATTTCTAAATAGAAATCCTTCCTGTTTTCTAACACCATATTCTCAATTACTACGTCATATATCCCCTTTTATATTGCATTTATTATGTTGAATTAGTTACGGATATTATGTATCAACTATGTGCTAACATATTTCAGCTTTGAAATTAATATAATGTAAATTATATCTCAATTTTTTAATAAACAAATTCTTTAGAAGCCTTAGATTAAAAAATTCAGTATTTTTATCAAGTGTGCACCTTCTATATTACATTATATTATGATATATGCAACAAATGTATTCAATTTATTCAAGTACATATAGAATGCAATTATAGTTACTGTTTATATATTTAATATCCTTAATACTTAAAGACTAAGTACTTTTAACAGAAAGAGTTCTTGGCACTATGCATAGAAAAGACTAAGTGAAGTTTCTATAACTTTAAAAATTGATGATCCTTGGGGCGCCTGGGTGGCTCAGTCGTTAAGCGTCTGCCTTTGGCTCAGGTCATGATCCCAGGGTCCTGGGATCGAGTCCCACATCGAGCTCCCTCCTCGGCGGGAAGCCTGCTTCTCCCTCTCCCACTCCCCCTGCTTGGGTTCCCTCTCTCGCTGTGTCTCTCTCTGTCAAATAAATAAATAAAATCTTTTAAAAAAAATTGATGATCCTTGAAAAGAAACAATAAATGGGGAGATCACATTTGCAAGTACGCTCTTAGTCATTTTAGCCCCACCAAAAAATAGAGAGGATCCTGGGCTATCCAGTCCAACCAGGGTACATCTTATAACACTTCAAATCTGGTCAAGTTAATTTAATATCTCTGAGTTTCCTCTTCTAAAAATGGAATACAGTAGTCTCCCCTTATCCATGGTTTTGCTTTCTGCAGTTTCAATTACCTATGCTCAACCACAGTCTGAAAGCAGTTGACTATAGTCAGAGATCAATAGTAGCTTAATGCTATGGCACAATGCCTACGTAATTTCACCTCACTCTATCTCATCATGTATACACTTTATCATCTCATGTCATCACAAGAAGGAGGAGGAATACTGTACAATGAGATTTTGAGAGAAATCACATTCATATAACTTTTACTGCAGTATATTGTTATTAATTCTATTTTTATTATTGTTGTTAATCTCTTACTGTCTAATTAATAAATTAAATTCTAGCATAGGTATGTATGTATCTATGTATGTATAAGAAAAAGCACAGAATATACAGGGTTTGGAACTATCCACAGTTTCAGGCATCCCCTGAGGGTCTTGGAATGTATCCCTATGGATAAGGGAGGACTACTACAATAGTAATTACTGCTAAGCCTACTAAAATATGGTATATGTGATTTGACTCAGAAAACAGTCAAATATGTAAAATATTTCTATATTCTAAAATTTTAGTTTACAAAAAGATAAGTCCTCATCCATATGATTAAGCTGCCAATTAACCCACCTAGCAGATAGTTGCCTAAATTAAATGCACTCTATTTTTCTAACAAATAATCTGAAAATCAAGTTAATAGAATAACAAAACACTTTATAACATTTTATCTAAGCATGATTTTGTTAAGTACAATTCTGCTAGTCCATATGATGTCTTTGATGAGAAAAGACCCTTTGTTCAGGCAAATGCAACCCTATGCCAGGGTACACAGTTGGCAAACCATGGGCTAGATTTCAACATCTGCTTTTCCCTTAACCCACTCCCTGCACAATTGTACAAAGTAAGGGCAGCTTTGGGTCCAAATGGATTATTTAATCTACATCCTTGAAAAGAATGTTAGAATAATTATTGGAATAATGATCCTCTAAAAGGTACACAACCAACAGCAACAAAAAACTAGTTCATTTAAAAACTAAAATAAAGCTTTATAGGACTTATTAAAACATTTTAAAAGCATTATAATTACTTGAACAGATAGATAATAATACCAACTGATTCTATTATCCATGCTGCCTGAGGAAGCAAAACCAAATATATTTTCGCTAACTGCAAATGCTGAGTAGGGTTCAGAGAACCTTATTTGCAGTTCAGATTTCACTACCAATTTATTCTCTAACCCCAAGCAAGTCACTTTTTAGCTCCTATTGATCTCTGCAAAATAGCCTAGATCAATGATAGTTCAGAATAGAGTTTGGAAGAGGAAAATAAATTCCTTTAAAATTCTCATTAAATCCACAGAATTTCTCCAGAAAAAAATTATACTTATACAAAAAATTTTGACTTTAAATTCAGACAAAAAAGAAATTTTAAATGACATTAGCTGGCACAGACTGAATGTCCCCCCCTCCCAATATTCATATACTGTAACCTAATCCCCATTTGGAATCACCTTTGGGAGGTGATTAGGTCATGAAGGTAGTACACTCATGAATGGTTTAATGCCTTTATAAAAGAGGCTCCAGAGATCTCCCTTGCCCTGTCTGCCATGTGAAAACACAGAAAGAAGATGGCCTTCTATAAACCAGGAATTTGGCTCTTGCTAGACACCAAATCTGCTGGTGCCTTGATCTTAGACTTCCCAGCCTCCAGAACTGTAAGAAATAAATGTTATTTAAGTCACCCATTCTTTATCATAGAATCCTACTGTGGTCTGAATTTTTGTGTCTCTCCTCCCCTCCCCCACAAATTCATATGTTGAAATCCAGTGCCCAGTGTGTTGGTATTAGGATGTGGGGCCTTTGAGAAGTGATTTGGTCATGAGGGCAGAGCCCTTGTGAATGAGATTAATGTCCTTATAAAAGAGGCCTGAGAGAATGCCCTTGACTTTTCTGCCATGTGAGAAAGAAGAAGTCTGCAATCCAGAAGAGGGCCCTCAACCCACCATATTGACACCCCAATCCTGAACTTCCAGACCCCAGAACTGTGAGAAATAAATTTCTGGGGTTTTTTAATTTCATTTTATTTTTCTAAAGATTTTATTAATTTATTTAGAGAGGGAGAGAGAAGGCGTGTGCACACGTGAGAAGGGAGGGGCAGAAGGAGAGAGGGAATTTCAAGTAGACTCCATGCTGAGCATGGAGCCCCACACAGGGCTCGATCCCACAACCCTGAGATCATGACCTGAGCTGAAATCAAGAGTCAGATGCTCAACGAACTGAGCCACCCAGGCACCGCAAATTTCTGTTGTTTATAAGCTAACCAGTCACTGATATTTTTTTAAAACACTCTGAATGGACTAAAAACACTGTCCAAATGAATTAAAACACTAACTTCTAATATTAATTATATAATGGGATTACAAAAATTTAATATACAAAATACTGTTCTATATAAAATAAAATGGTAAATGTGGTAGGCAGAACTCTAATATGGCCAGCATGATCTCCATCCCTGTGGTTATGCTCTGAATATTCCACTCCCTTTGAGTATGGGTGGGACCTGTGATTTGCTTCTAGCCAATAGCAGATAACAAAGTGATGAGATGCCACTTACTTTATTAGATTGTAGTATATAGCTAAAGTGACAAGATATCATTCTCATGATCATGTTACATTATTTAAGGCTCTGTCTTAGCCAAAAAGAGAAATCTTGGGCTGGCCTTGAGGAAGAAGCAAGCTGCTGTGATGTAAACTGCCTGTGGAAATGGTCCGGCCAAGTGCCTCAGTCCTAGGAAGGAACTGAAGTTTGACACATCCACTTGAGCTTAGAAGAGTACCCTAAGTAATAGAATGGAATAGAGCCTACCTAACACCTTAATTGCCTTGAGTGAGCATAGGACCGAGCTAGGACATAGCTAAGCCTGCTAAGCCTCCTAACCCACTCAAACCATGAGATATATAAGTTGTTTTAATAACTGAAAAATTTATGGTAACTTGTTATGCAGAAATAGAAAATTAAGACCATAAAGCTGAATATTTTATATTCAGTATCTCAAGTGGTACTCTCATTTTCTTCCCAAATTTATGTTACCTGATTCTTAAAGCATTCAGGTGCATGCTTGTGGGACACTTAACTCCAGCCACTCACTGAAATGAGTGGTATGATGCTCTGGCAGTTATTTAAAAAAGTTTAACTTGTACCAAAAAAAAAAAAAAAAAAAAGTATTCCAAAGTCAAGATGAAATAAAAGGTTACTTAACTTTCATTGGATCACATAAAAAAGAGTGGGTTCTATAGTTCACAATTACTGAAGGGCTTTTCTTATTTGATTTTTACAACTCTTATACCACCTTTTTGAGATAGCGAAGATATTGTTTTACCCATTTTGCTGGCCAAAAATATAAAGCTCAAGTAGGTTAAAGGGTCTTGTCCAGTGTCACAGAACTTAGTAAGACCCTGTTTTAACTCCCAGTATGATCTTATTTCCTCCATGATATTACCTGTAGTTGAGTAAACCATGGTAATTTTCATAACCTTGACAATAAACATGCTTGGATTCACCATTTTATTTTCTGAAACTTACTGAGAAAAGTCAACCAACAAGGAAGAAATATCTTAGAAAGAACTTTAATACACACATACAAATATACACACATATACATACACATCCCTATGTTCACATGCATACTAATGTTGTCTACACATATAATTATCAGAGAATATACTAATTAAACTTAGATGCATAGGGAGAGTATGTGTTCTTACCTGGACTTGAAGCAAATCTCCTTTTATTTTAAGGTCTTTGACTAGAGACTTCTTCCTGTTATTAAAAAGGTTTTTAAATATATCATGATATTTTAAATTGCATGACTGCTTTCTTGAGTAGTACTTAAACCATTTTTAAATAAAATTTCTCAAAAGAAATTCATATTTTTAAGAATTGTAATCCATATAAGTGATAAATAATTGAATAATATTTCCCAAGCTAATTTCTCATTGGTATGATTAAAATATGGAAGTGAGATAAGGCAAGGATTTTCAAAGTACATTGATCATTTTTTCCTCTTCGGTTATCTTAAGTTTTCATTTAAATTCCAGTTAGTTAATATACAGTGTAATATTAGTTTCAGGTGTACAATGCAGTGATTCAACACTTCATACAACACCCAGTGCTCATCACAGTGTACTCCTTAATCCCCATCACCTATTTAGCCCACCCCCTTACCCACTTCCCCTGTGGTAACCATCAGTTTGTTTTCTATAGTTAGGAGTCTGTTTCTTGGTTTGCCAACAACACAAGAAACAGTAGGTGTTGGCAAGATATGGAGAAAGGGGAACACTCTCACACTATTGGTGGGAATGCAAACTGGGGCAGCCACTCTGGAAAAAAAATATGGAGGTTCCTCAAAAAGTTAAAAATAGAATTATCCTATGATTCAGCAATTGCACTACTAGATATTGACCCAAAGAATACAAAAATACTAGTTCAACAGATATATGCACCCCGATGTTTACAGTAGCATTATCTACAAAGGCCAAATTATGGAAACAGCCCAAGTGTCCACTGACTGATGAATGGATAAAGAAGATGTGACGTGTGTATATAGATACACAAGAGCACTTGTGATGAGCAGTGGGTGTTGTATGGAAGTGTTTAATCACTGTATTGTACACCTGAAACTAATATTGCACTATATATCAAATAACTGGAATTTAAATAAAAACTTAAGATGACCAGAGAGGAAAAAATGATCAATACTTTGAAAATCCTTGCCTTATCTCACTTCCATATTTTAATCATACCAACGAGAAATGAGCTTGAGAAATGTTATTCCACACACACACACATACACACACTGGAATATTACTCAGACATTAAAAAGAATGAAATCTTGCCATATGCAACGATGTGGATGGAGCTAGAGGATATTATGCTAAGTGAAATAAGTTAGTCAGAGAAAGACAAATACCATATGTGGAATTTAAGAAACAAAACAAATAAGCAAAAGAAAAAAGGAAAGAGAGTGGTCATCTTTTCTGAGAAAATGGTCAAGGCTGTTTGTCCACCAAATTTCTTTTCAGAATTTGTAAAACTCTATAAAGATTGAATTCACAGTTTCTTTTAAAAATAATTTTATATTAGGATTTGACTAAAGCAAATTAAAAATGCAAAGAAATAGTTCATATTACTAAAGAAAATATTCACTTAATAAGGCCACTTTACAATAATCCACATACATAAAAAACAGATAATTGATTTTATAAAATAAGTATAATCAAGAAGTACAGTAAAAAAAAAAAAAGAACAGCCCAGACTAAAGAGTTAATGTGCAAACCACAAATCATTAGCCAAACCATTAAGGAAACAATGTAAATTCTTTTGTCCCTAAAATGATTTTCAGATTTAATTCTGTTTACTTAGTCCTTAATATCTTGTGTTTCATTCTCCTCTAACCCCCCTTTAACTCTTTCTTCTTCCCTTCTCAGTCCTCTCCCACCAACATATCCTGGTCTGCTTATAAAACTATGTATTACATAGTGTTATATTTTTTAGAAACTGTTGATAAGTTATGCTTATATGACCTCAAATTGTATAAAATGAAAATATCAATTAACAAGGAAAAAATATTAACATGTAGCTTTATGTCTTACTCTTCTGAATCCTCAGGTTTTCCTTTGTCTTTTTTCTTCTCAGTTTTTATAGTTTTCTTTGTCCTATCATACATTGACTTTGTTTTCTGTGTAATTTTATATAAGCCAGAAATAGATAGTTAATGAGGTAATAAATTAGAAGGAAATAAAAGATAATAAACATTACTAAGATTTTAATTTTACTTTGAGAATCACTATGCTATGTTTCAAGGAAAATTAAACAGAAGCAAAACAAAATTTAGGATACAGTTAAAATGTTTCTTATGGCAATTTACTGTATATATAAAAAAATTAAGTTCCCCTGGCAAATTACAATCAATTCTTCTATAATATAACATATGCCTTCCTGAAAATCATCTCACTATGAAAAATCATGCACTAAAAACTTCAGGATATATGAGAGAAATGAGGTAAGGTGCCCAGCATGCAAAAAACACTGTCAATGATACATTTTTTAAAAAATAGAAACCTAATAAAAATAGTTCTGTTTTACACAGTTAAATGATTTAAGAAATACATAGTATGAGAAATATAGCTAGCTCTTTATCTTGAGGAAGACTTGAAATTTGTTTGTGGAAATGAGCATTGAATAGGTTGCAACTTGTTATTGTGGTTTTGGAAGAAGGGTTATCTAAAATCAGATGAAAAGTTGTAACAGATGTGGACTTGTGTGGTATACTAAAAACATGGTGAACAGAGATAGTGTATAGAGTAAATTTTCTGCTTTCACCTTGTACTTTTTGCAGATGAAATTGTACATAAACATGTAAAATTCATATTTGGTTCAAATTGTTTGTGTTCAAACAAATTTGCATTTCAAAGCAAATACAGGAGAACTGACCACATACTTTAAAGTATTCTTGAACTACTGTGTAGTACCAGATTATTTTATATAAGAAATTGAGAAAAAACTTAATAGATTATTGAAATTTTTAGATGGCCTTAGTAATAGAGACATATTAAGGCACACATTAGGTGTTTATTTCCTGTTTTATACCAAAACTCCCAATAGACACAAATTCACTAGTGGCAAAGTTCTCACAAGTTAAACAAAAAGTGTAATAATACCTCATAAAATATGAAAAATAAGTATAATTTTTAATGAGAATTAAGTCCCCAAATAACTTTCTAGTTTAAATATGAGTTTTGGGATATATTCCCTATATGGAAAAATCTAATATACATTGACAAAAAATACTTTAAAAATGAAAAGGAAAAAGACTAAAAAATAGTGCTCAAAAAAATGATCAAAAGATTATCTGTGAGTTTTGAGAGAACTTCAAGTGACTAATATGCTTATAAATGCAGTACACGATGGAGAGAAGAGGTACGGAAAGAAAATATATGTTTGAAGAAACAAACATATATTTTCCATATATTCCCATCCCTCCACCCCTCTCCCTTCTAGAACCCTCAATTTGTTTTTCAGAGTCCATCGTCTCTCATGGTTCATCTCCCCCTCCGACTTCCCCCCCTTCATCCTTCCCCTCCTGCTATCTTCTTCTTCTTCTTTTTTTAAATATAATGTATTTGTTTCAGAGGTACAGGTCTGTGATTCATCAGTCTTACACAATTCACAGTGCTCACCATAGCACACACCCTCACACACATAGCTCCCCAATGTCCATCACCCAGCCACCCCATCCCTCCCACCCACCCCCACTCCAGCAAACTCCAGTTTGTTTCCTGAGATTAAGAATTCCTCATATCAGTGAGGTCATATGATACATGTCTTTCTCTGATTGACTTATTTCGCTCAGCATAACATTCTCCAGTTCCATCCACATCGTTGAAAATGGCAAGATCTCATTCCTTTTGATGGCTGCACAATATTCCATTGTATATATATATACCACATCTTCTTTATCCATTCATCTGTCGTTGGACATCTTGGCTCTTTCCACAGTTTGGCTATTGTGGACATTCCTGCTATAAACATTGGGGTGCACGTACCCCTTTGGATCCCTACATTTGTATCTTTGTGGTAAATACCCAGTAGTGCAATTGCTGGATCGTATGGTAGCTCTATTTTCAACTTTTTGAGGAACCTCCATACTGTTTTCCAGAGTGGTTGCACCAGCTTGCATTCCCACCAACAGTGTACGAGTGTTCCCTTTCTCCGCATCCCTGCCAACATCTGTCATTTCCTGACTTAATTTTAGCCATTCTGACTGGTGTGAGGTGGTAACTCATTGAGGTTTTGATTTGGATTTCCCTGATGCTGAGCGATGTTGAACACTCTTTCATGTGTCTGTTGGCCATTTGGATGTCTTCTTTGGAAAAATGTCTGTTCATGTCTTCTGAACAATGGCCAAATTTTATTTTCAAATTTGACAAGAACTTCATAGCCACAAGCCCACAATAATATAAGAAAAACTACCTCCAAGACATATCATAACAAAATTATTAAAAGCAGTGACAAAAATCTTAAAAGCAGACAGAGGAGGAAAGTAGATTATATACAAGGATAAAATGGACAGCAGACTTCTTTTCAGAGACAAAGGAAAAATACCTTTAAATACTAGAAGAAAAGAAACAAACCTAGAATTCTTTACTCAGAGAAAATATCTTTCCAAACTGAAGGCAAAAGAAAAAATTTTTTGTCAGAAATCAAAGAGCTGAAAAATACATCAGCTGCTGACCTGAACAAAAAAAATTATGAAGAATCCTTCAAGCATAAGAAAAATGATACTAGACAGAAAAAAGAAAATATACCAATTAAAGACCAACAGAAATAATAATTAAATGAGTAAATAAATATAAAATATGACTGCTTTTCTTATTATTTAAATCTCTTTAAAAGGTAATAGTTTCCAGCTAAACAAATAGCAATGTGTTGTGCAGTTTATATCATAGGTTGTAAAATGTTTGAAAATAATAGCACAAAGGCTGGAAAAGGACAAATAAAAGAATATTATCTTAAGGTTCTTAAGTGATTTCATTTTTTTTAGGTTTTATTTATTTAGTTTAGACAGAGATAGCGTGAGTAAGGGCAGAGGGAGAGGGGGAAAGAGAGAGAGAGAGAGGTCTCAAGCAGACTCTATGCTGAGCACAGAGTCCAAGGAGGGGCTGGATCTCACAACCCTGAGACCATGATGGAAGCCAAAATCAAGAGTCAGACACTTAACTGACTGAGCCACTCAGGAGCCCCAGTTCTTAAGTGATTTCATATTACTTGAATATAGACTGCAATAACTTAAAACAAGACTGTAAGCACTTTACTGTAAAGCAACCAATAAAGTGATCAATTGAGCAGCAAATACAAAAGTAATAAAGATTTTGTTACCTGGAAGTGGGATGGTATTGTAACATATAACTAAAAATTTAGAAGTGGCTTCAAGAATTGGGCAGTAGGCAGAAACTGAAAGAATTCTATGGAGCATGAAAAAAATATTTAGCAAATTATGAAAAGAAGAAAAATACTTTAACCTAATAAATGATATTGAGAGAGAGAAAAAGAGGCAGGCACAGGCATGCTGACTGACCACAGAAACAAGTAAACATTCCCTTTAAAATCAGGAACAAATGAAAAGTACCCACTCTCATCATGTTTATTCAGTATCATTCTAGAGGTCAGTATCATTCCAGTGCAGCAAGACAAAAAAGAAAAATAGCATTAGAAATTGGAAAGCAAGAAAATTTAGGCTATTATTATTCACACATACTTTGACTTTGCAAGTAGGAAATAAAAAGCTAATCATTATGACAATGTAGGTAGGTTTCGGGATGCAAAATTCAATACACAAAAATTTATTACACTTTTCTAACAATAGTTTAAAAATATCTTTAAAAAGACAGCAATTAAAATTGCATAAAAATATGAAACATCTAAGATTAACAAAATGAATGAGCTTTATGAAGAAAATCACAACATTGTAAGCATTTAAAAACCCTTCAAAATGGGGTGCCTGGGTGGCTCAGTTAGTTAAGCGACTGCCTTCGGCTCAGGTCATGATCCTGGAGTCCCGGGATCGAGTCCCACATTGGGCTCCCTGCTCAGCAGGGAGTCTGCTTCTCCCTCTGACCTTCTTCCCTCTCGTGCTATCTCTCATTCTCTCTCTCTCAAATAAATAAATAAAACCTTTAAAAAAAAAAAAGAATCTTGGATCTTTTGAAAAAAAAAAATCCTTCAAAATGGAGACATTTTATATTTATAAAAAAATAGGTATATCTTGATAGCCTAGACGTAAATCTCTACAACTTGATGTACAGATTCAGTGCAATTGTAGAATTTGACACGTTAACTCTAAAATTTATACGGAAGTGCAAAGACCAAAAAATAAATAAATTCTTATAAATAACAAGGTGGGTTGACTTGTCCTACAAAATATCAGGACCTGTTCTAAATCTCTAGTCATTAAGGATCCCAGGCATTAGCATAGAACTAGACAAGACCAATGGAACAGAATAGAAAGCAGAAACAAGTCTTCTTTAAGCAGTGACATTTTCCAGAAACAGCATACTAAAACATACACACCTAGTAGATCCCATTTAGGAAGCTATAATAGAAAGCCAGGTGTTAGCAGAAATGAAATAAATAAGGAGACAGCAAACTGTAGGTCAAATGTGCCTTGTGGCCTTTTTTGTAAATAATTAAGTTTTATTGCAACATAGCCATGCTCATTCATTTATAACTATTTTCATACTATAGAAGCAGACTTAAGTTGCAACATAGGCTGTATGGCCTACAGAACCTAAAATACTTATCTAGCCCATTACAGTAAATGTTTGCTGATATCTGGAATAACAAAATGGTTAATTTAGTAATTAGGGAAACACTACCAAGTTATAGTAGACACAGGATACTTGTGCCCGGTATCCTTTTTACCTTTTGTTAAGAAAGAGCACCACATTCTAAGGTGGGTTCTGCACCTCCCCCATCTCAAACTGTCCTGGTGACATTTGACCTAAGCAAAGTCAATCAGATCCAATCACCTAAAAAATGACTATTATGGAAGGGAAGCAGTTGGAGCTGAGTAATTCCAGAGTCAGTATCCAAAGCGATGGGGGGTGGGGGAATAGCCATAAGCTCCCTCTCTAAAAATTCTCTGAAAGGACAGAAGTAGTGGCTGTCCATGAACTATTA